TTTTTTATACTTTGGCTTTGTGGATAACAACAGCCTTTAAAAACAAAACAAAACCAAAAAACGTAATCAAAAACAATACAGAAATCAAAATTTGGGAAAAGATAAATAATATCATGAAATACCCAGACATCAAAGAACAAACCAAAGCAAAAAGTATTCCAGGCACCATCTTAGACAGCATTGGCTTGAATTTTAATAGCTCTATTAGAAGACATAGAGAGAATGCTAGAGGGCTTGGTAGAATAGGCTGTATTCACTCAAACTTATTTGACTGTTTCTGTGAATTCTGTAATAGGTTCCTGAGTATCACAGAGTTGAATGAGCAATATACTGCCAGAGCAGCAAAAATGCAAAAGAAGGCACACAGAAAATCTCAGCGAAGTCAAGGTAAAGTGTAAGTGAAAAAAATGGTCTTTTCTGAAGGCTGACGTCTAACACTTCATTCAAACAGAGACAAATCCTTCTGACAGTTCGTTCCACCAGATATGCAAGAGAGGACTCTCAGGACATTTCTGTTACTACAGTTGTGTTTCTTTGGTTTGTTTTTTATTTTTGCAGGTGTTTGGTACTGGCAACACTTTACACAGTATCACATTAGTCTCCACTTCTATAGCTCAGCCTGCACTCTCACAAACTGTTTAAATCAATCCCATAGATTGTCAGCAACTGAGGAGCACAAATGAGATTAAAAACTCTCCAGAAAACAACAGCCATTTCATGAAGAAGGAAAACTGTCTTTAATTTCTCCTGTGCTATCCAAGAAACGTTTCTGATAAGCTTACACCTGCAACATGAAGGGCATTTTGCAACACATGACACTTGCACAGGGCATTCTGTTCCCACATAGAAAACTCAAAACATTGATCTCATTGGGATGAAAAGAGAAGACATCTTCTTGTAAAGAAATTTCCAATATCCTACCCTTTTTGCCTTTTTCTTGTGAAATAATGTCTACAGTTACTTTCACATTTACATGTACAAATTGTCTAGCAATTGCTTAACAGACTGTTCAATTCTTTGAAAACTGCCACATCCAATCCTTAGATTAAGAAACGAATCAATGAACTGCCAAATACAGACCTCAACTGGAGAGACAAAGAGACCCTCCTGCTGAGGTCCTTGCCTCACCCTATGAGACCACTGGGTTGGTGCAACTCCCACATTCTCCACAGCTCCTAGAAGAACTGAGCTCACCAAATATTAACCTCTGCATTTCGAAATCTCTCAGGACAACAACATCGTATTTTTGTGACCTTTGAAATTTTACAGCATGTCATCTCCAGACATCCTAATGCTCAAAACTGAGTCTCCAAAATCCCAAGCTAAGGCTGAAAGGAATGCCACAGAGAAGTTATTTTAAGTTGATGCTTTATTTCTAGTCCTAGAGTCCATAAAAAAAAAAAAAAGCAGAAAATTCCTTTCATAAATAACAGTATAATATGCTTTCTTCTACTTGCCTTCCCAAAACAAGAGCTTTAGTGAAGTGCTTAGTGTGTAAGTGAGCATTTATTCACAGAGCACGACAGAAATAATGACTATGCCTGCTGCTCATTTTTGCAAATAACTGTATTAGTGACTCACTGTAGACTGATGGCTTCTGTGCGGTGGGATGTTTTGGCACATATGCCATTGGAAAGGAGAAAAATAAAATCAGTCACAGATCCAGTGAATGTTGGAGCAGGCCATCTGTACAAATTCAGCATGGCTGTATTTTTCAGCCATTTTGTTACATTACTACAGTAGGTGCACAACCCTGGTACCAAACAATCGGAGTGGGATTTGCAGAAAGGTCGTGGCTTATTCAGTTCTACTCCCACTGAAGATTCCTGCTAACATGATGGGAGCAGAATTTGGACAAATTAGAAACTTCTGGGGAAAAGAAAAACCTCTTTCATTTAAGAAAATTCAGCACTCACTTTACACATGGAATTAAAACAGTTACGTCACAGGGTTCTGTAGTGTTTTTATATCGAAAGAACTACCTGAAGTGAGGACTGGGCACAAGATAGTGGAAGAGTTCAGTGGACACTGATCTACTGATTTTCTGCTTTAGAGCAAAAAAAAAGTCCTGACAATCCTGTTTGGGTCAGGCAACAAACCAGGCTTATCTCCTTATTTAGCTTCCTGTAACTATAGTTTAATAACATTTGACAGAAAATCAAATGTGGCACCCTTGTCAGGCAGGGTAGAATATGTTTTTTTGTTTTGCTTTAAGGCATAGAAACCTAGTTATGAAACAAACGTCCCACCTCCAAACCAAAAAAAAAATCCTATTTTTATTTTCCATACATCCTGTGGAAGTTTCAGCATGCATCACTCTGATCTACTTTCCATATTTAGTAAGCACTAATCCAAAGTCTGCAGAAAATACACTTATCTGAAGACTGAAAACGCATGGGAAGTTTATCATTCTGCCAATGCTCATTCAGGAAAAGCTGGGCTCAATTTTAAAGAGCACTTGCTAAACCTACCCCTAATGATCAGTATGTATTGTTGGAAAAGTACATACATAGGAGGCCTCACTCATATATGTTCACTGCATTTGTAATGGATGCCTCTTTTAAAGCCTTACACCAAAAACAACTCCAAGAAAGCATAAGCAGCAGAGACAACTCCACACAAGAGGACAAGACAGAGAACAGCAAAGTTAAGGTCTCCTGTGTCCCTACACAAAGTTACACCCATAGAGTTGTATGCCTCTTAACAGTTCATGCTCATCACACTGCAAAAAAAAAAAACAAAACAAAAAACCAACCAAACAAAAAAAGCCACTTCTGCTTTTGCTGAATTCTAATGGTATAAACATGGTAATTCAAAAAAACTCAGAACCATTCCAAAGCAGTCTCCATCATTTTGCACAACACGTTTGCTTCCCATGCTTTCCTTTAGCAGAAGCCTAGTATGTAGACCTGTATGCATAACACCATTGGAGGCCAGAATTCTCTAGGTGTCTTTGGACTCAGAGTTGGTAAGCAAGCCAACAGTGTGTTTAGGCTGAACAGTCTGTCAGAAGAAACAAATTAATTTGGGAATTCAGCTTAATGGGTTTTCGGCACAGCTGGAACCATTTCCCTATAGATCTAGTAAGCTTGGTTCAATGCAGTTTTGTTCAGGTTGCTTCAAATACACAGCTTGCATGCTAATTTTAAGAATTCTAAAAAATCTGGAAGAAAACAAATTAAAAATCAACCCATTACCATGGAATGCCTATAATTTTAGCAATTTTTATTTTTCTTTTCCAAAAGAGAAAAAAAGAAAGATATGTTGGGAAGTTTTTCAATTAGCTTTTGGGAGCTGAGCCTCACTCTCCAGGGAGCTGGAATGACTGATGCCAGCTGCCAGCTCTCTCAGCTAGCTGTTGTGAATTCAGCATTCACTGAAATTGGGTACAGATAGTGATATCTCAGTCTGGATTTATTTCAGGGCTGTGGTTATACGTTCACTGCATAAGCACTGGTGTCACCATCAGATATTCCTGCCCCTGGCGCTGCTTGTTGCAACCCCACAGCTCAGTTGGTGGAAAAGTTCACATGACTGCTGGCCATCTGCTTCAGCACAGAGTCAGCTGGTTTAGCTTTACGAACCCTTATTGCCAGCTACAGGCAAATGCTCCACAGCCTCTTCCTTAGGGCTGTGCCAAAACTACTTGTATCAGGATTGTGACCTGCTTGCAGTTATGCTTCTGACCTTCCTTTGAGACATGGCTAAAATCTTCCTAAGCCTTGTAATAGTGATGCAAACAAGGATAAAAACCAGCTTGCTCTTAGGAACCTACCAAAAAAGCAAAATTCCAGTTCTAGGTTACCTGGCTGGAATGACACTGTATCATGCAATTTAAAAAAACAAACAAACAAACAAACAACTCTTGACCTGTTTTGTTTGTTTGTTTGTTTGTTTTAAGGACATACAGACACTTGAAGAGGTAAATACTATAGCAAGAAATACAAGCAGCTGCTATTACAGCTTCAATTTACAGATCATCTTGTTCTCAAAAGATGTTGCTTAACAGACCATTGTATTAAAAAAAAAATAATAAATCATTCGTGCATATCAAAGAAGTTCTGTCAAATATATCCCATAAAAAAAAAAGAGCCAGAACTCAGTTGGTACTAGCACAAGTCTAAATCTGCAAAAGTCTGACTGTTCCATATCTAATTATATATATATGAAAGTCAATACAAAAACTGACATGTGCTAGAAAAGAACAGCTGCTCAATCTTGCATATTCTAATGTAATTATTTTTGAAGCATTCAAAAAGCAAAGACCTAATCCAGGGTTGCCTGGCTAAAATACACATACTGGATTTGAAAGTCAGCCAGTTTATGATACTATCATAGTAGCAGAGCATGATTTTGTGATGCCAGAGTCAAAAAAGCATCTTCTGTAACATATATTCACTTCTCTACTACCTCTGTTACAGGTTGTCTGTAAATAAAACAGCCAGATGTGTCATGAGTTTTTCTTCCTTTATAACCCCAAGCAATGGAGCTGAGCAAAGGCAAAGCATTTTTATCAGAACAAACTGACAGTGGAGAGTTAGGATCCTGAGGGGGAAAAAAAAATCACATTTGATTCAGACACTTCTGGTATCCTATGTTTTAATTTATAGAGCCTAAAAGCACTCTTAAATGCAAAACTGCTTAGAATTATTCTCTGAAAAACTTCAAAATAGCTTTTTGATATTCTGCCATTTTCTCCCTATTTTCCCCCGAGAAAACCTGACAAATCCACTTTTCTAACAAATATTCCCATTTTTGTTAAATTTGTTTGCTATGAGGAAATTATTTTGTGTACAAGCTCCAACAAGCTCTACTCAGCATGGAAATCAGAAGTTAAGACTACAGCATAGAATTTAATCCAGGTGAGAACCTAGTAGCTTCATTGCTAGAAAAATGTTTTGACTACACACTTTCCACATGTATAACAGTAAGGTAAGAAGACATACATTTCTGAGCTTGTCAAAGCGTTGTTATTAAGAACGTAGTGCACACTAATTTACCTTTGTTGGATTTTGGTTGTTCAGATGAGCCGCTTCCAACCTTTCTCTTTTTCCTTGGAACAGATGAATTTTTCCTGTCAAAGGTAATAGGACTGTATTGAGGGAGGCTGTTGAATTTCTTTTCAAATTCTTCTTCCAACTTTGCTAAGCTAAAGGGGAAACAAAACCAATCAAATTAAATGTAACTGCATTTCTAGAGAAAAGATATATTATGAATACGAGTGCATACACACATATACATGTACATATATTGAGAAGGAAAAGATGCAGACATACTGTAAACAAACTATATTAATCCAACTTTGGGATATGTACATACAATCCAGCTTCTGCATTTGTAATTAAGTACAAAGTAAGTTTTAATAGATGCAAATAATGTAAAAATAAAAATCAGTGTCATGCTGGTGACATTTAGCTGCACAGATTTGTAAATTAGATTTGTCTGTTCTATGAGGGGAAGGAAAAAAGGCAAAACCAATAGATAAACAATCTGGACAATTTCACATAAAGAAGTCACATCACGCTGGAATGGAAATAACAATTCAAATTAGAGCAAAAATGTCACACTATCTTAAAAAAAAAATGGCAAGTGATCCAATCTTTTGGGGAAATAAAAAGTAATTATAGAATGTTGTACTTCAGGATTACAATTAGCCTTGTATTCCTTCTGGGGGATTATATTTCCTCTCTTCTTATTTGTTGGGAGATGAGAAATACAATTAGCTCATAGCTTCAGGAACCCTACATAGCTATTTGCTATGGAAAACTAAAACTCAGTAGATGTTGGCATGACTGCGAGTCTGTGATTCTGTAACTGTTGGAAGAGATGGGCATCAGATTCCATACACTTGGAAGTGCCATAATAAACATTAATTCTTTCTGTTTTTCTTGAAACATGATGTAAATTCAGTTGCATTCTGAAACCTTTGGTACACAAAATGATTCTTTGTTTGACCTCTACTCAGCTGTACACAGACGAAGCACACCTGGCATGCATCGCCAGGGCAAACGTAGGCAGCTACCAATGGAGAAGAAGCTAAGAGGACACAGAAAAGTAAGGGGAAAAAGGAGCAATTCCAATGGCAGCAAGAAAACCCAACAGACAGATGCCCTAATGCTGAAAGGTGATGAAGGGAGCAAAAAGGTTTAAGAAGGGTGAGTAAAAGTAAAAACAGCTCTTTGAGTAGACAGAAGATCAGGCAGAGTAAGGAACAAGGACAACCAATACCTTCTTCAGCACTTTGGCTCCACAAATTCTGCCTTTACAGAGCTCATATTCATTAATGGCATGGCTAAATCAGGAACCAACATCTGTAAATATGTATTTTTCCCACCCAGCCAGATAACTATGGTAGAACAGTATCTGTCAAATGAATTGGTACACAGTTTTCATAACAACCTTGAATAAGTTATTTGAAACTACTTTTTTTTTTTTTTTTTTTTTTTTGGCTAGGAAATCCACTTAGTTTTCATGCCATAACATGACTTAAAAGTTTCCCAATTTTTAATTTAAAATCTGGACAATTACAAAGTTTATATGCACTGCACTAGAAATACAAGGTGTACCACTAGTTTTGCTCCAAAGAAGAGAACGCTTGGAGACTTTCACCAATTTAATATCTTTGCTGCACAGTGAGCTGCATATGTGAGCTATATTTCCTATAGAACAGGTTATAAAAAGGGCATAAAAAAGGCTGGCACAAAAGAAACACGTTATAGTTTTAAGCATGAAGCATGGAAAATCTACTCCTTTTTAAATTCATTTTCACCCTTTGAATTCAGATAATTGGAAGTCTTCAAGAATATGCAAGTTAGTATGAATGGCCAAACAGATTTTACAGCTATGCCTGCAGTTAAATAAGTCTGTTAGTACTCTTACAAAAATTATTATTCAAATAGTAGAAGATTAATTCTATGCAGCTGTACTAAATTTCAATGCATTTGAAATCATTAATTATTCTTCTGGTATACTTAATTCCTTTACTGTACATACATCTTGCCTCTATGGAGGCAAAATGGTGTATCTATCATAATTATTTACAAATATTAGAATGGTACTTAGTTTTCTTCCATCAGCAATTTCAAGTGGGCAAAGAAATCTCTTTTTTTCTAGTCTAATTCTGTTTTCGCTGCTTGAACACCTACTCAAATCTTCAAATATTGTTTATAAAGTGCTTTGAAAATATCATGAACCCTCTTCATCTCCTGAGCAGGTAAATATTGTATTTTGCTGTTTTTTTCTTAAGCAAGTGAGCAAATAATGTCATTCAAATTTGTTTACATTTGTGCAAACCAGGAAAGATCTCAGAGAAATTACTTTGGGATATATATAACCAGCAGGAATCTAGAGTATAACTCAACCAAAGAGGTTGGCAATTTTCAAGAATTCTATCTCATCCTGATTATGTAGTTTAAAATGTTTGAGTGTTAGATATTCACTAACTGTTATGGGGAAGACTCACTCTTAAGGTATCAGGCTGACCTTGTTAAAACTCTGAACAGTGTAAAACTGCAACTTACCCAAAAACAAATTCTTCCTTTGGCTTAGGCCTTTTCAGTTTTTTGTTCCCGCTTGTCCCACTTTGGGAAAAAGCCCAGTTTTCTTCATTCCAGCATCCTTCATGATCTGAGGAGTTGCCTTTTCCTGAGCTTCTTTTTCCTGGGATGAAGGCAGAAAATTGTTTCTCATCTTAGAAAAAAGTGCTAAGGTGAGCTCAGAAGAAACTTGCATATCCATTCATCAATGCAATTTATGATGTCCGACCTTTCTCAAGGAGCTGCAAAACAATCCTTCTTCCCCTGCCCGAACAAGATAATCAACTTGTTGGCGACTTTTTTTTTCCCCCTCCTTTACATATATACTACCTTCAAAATCAGGACCCTCTGAGGTATGAAGGAAGACAAAGAAATGAGTAGATTTACAGTAACAAACTTACCTAAATTACAAGCACCTTTTTTCATTTCCACTTTGAATAATTACCCATTTAAATCTACTATTTCGAAAAACATATTTCAGTATATCTCATGAAAATTTCTGGAAGCGTTCAGTCTCAAATGTATCCTTTTCAAGGCACAGTTTTCTTGTTTATCACCTACAGCAAAACTAACAACCAAAGGGAAAGCACAACATTTCTGCCTTTTGTAGGATGGGCAACTGTGCTCAGAGCCACAGCTTCAAGAGACATTTACACGGAAAGCAATTGGTCAGGGTTATATGTAACACAGATCCTACAGACTACTATCAGCAGGCTGATGAATCAACTGGACAAGCCTTCAGTCAAAAAGCTAAATCTCAGATCACAAAAGACAAAACCAAAGAAGCACAGATAAATAGGAATGCAGACTGCAGGACTCAAGATGATCTGCCATGGACCATGAAGCCCCCAAGCCCCAGTATTTCAGGCAATCAGACACAGAAACCCCATCACACACTTCTTAAACACCAGTTTAACATAAACCGTTGCTCTTCCTCCCATACCACAGCAGACTTGCGTGGTTCATGCTGTAAATGAAGCAGTTAAAACCACCCACCTCTGTCCACGTTAGCACGCAGAGACGTAAGCATGCCCTCTGACACCAGAGTTTTATAAAGAGCACCTTTGCAAGATCTCTCTGATTTCCTGGAGCCACAGGTTTCTATTTTTTTAACACAGTCACTGTCCTCTGTTTTGACCTGTTCTGGTAAGCTCTGGGGCACCACCTCCTCTGTTGGGGTCAGTGGTTCCACTTTAATGCTATCAGAAGCCTCACAGGGTACTTCCTTGTTGGCTGTAATACTAAGGAAATCAGGAGGCTTCGATTCTTTGGTGGTCTCCATGGGTTTCTCCTTTGATGTCTTCTTCTCTTTAGATTTCACTTTTTTCTTTGGTGATTTTGTATCCAACATGCTTCCCTTCACATTTGAGGATGGGCGGGCTTTTTTGCGTGGAGTTTCTTCAAGTCTCTCAGCACCCCAATCTCCTTTTGCAACAGCTTCAATTGTATACATTACACTCTCAATGTCCGACTCGGAGGACTGCCTCTTTTTACAAGGCTTTTTAGGGGTGGATTTTTCATTCGTGTGCCGGTCCAACTTATTTTTCTTCTTCTTCTTCTTCAACTTTTCTGGCTTGCCTAGCCCAAGGATACTCATTTCAGCTAATGAAAGCTCTGGAGAACGGCACACATAATCCTTTGTGTTATCATTTCTCTCAAAAGGATTGCTATCCTTTAGAAGACTAGTAAAATCACTGCATTTTACAGTTTCTAATTCCTCAGCTTTTGTCTCATCCCAGTTTTTCAATGTCTCTGATTGTTCCATTTTTCTTGTACAGGAGTCTTTTATTGTTGTCTTCTCCAGTTCTTCCACTTCCATTTCAGGAACTTCCCTTGTCACATCTTCTGATACTTCCACTTTTATTTTCCCAGGTTCTTTCACTTTTACCCCTTCTGAAGCAAGGCACATCTAAAGCAAGTTAAAAATAGTTACTATGAAATAAACATCAACTGTTAACATTACTTACCTGTATTATCAGGAGTGCTACACAGGAAATCTCTCTAGGATCCTAATTTATGAAAGCAAACTATGCTGAAGAACAATACTGAAAAAAATGCCGAAGTTCTAATGAAGCAGATGAAATAAGACTAGTGGATTCTATTGCTGTAAAAGACAATAACAACAACAACAAAAAACCCTACAAAAACATAATATTCTAAGTTGTGTTTCCATCCTTCAAGTGCCTTTTACATATCCTGGAAAGACACTGCTAGACTGATTTTTCAGAACATCTCAAGTGCAATGGAACAATACAGTATCTCACTGTCACCACAGTCAAGCTGTATGGAATCTCAAATCCATACCCCTCGCAGTTTCCAAATATCTCCACAAACAATTCTCTCCTCCACTTTCCAAATGGCCTCCAAAAGTGAATAAAAAATTTGACCAAATCTCAGCAATCATTTTCCTTTATTTCAAAGAGAAAAATGATTTGGAATTTACTATAAAAGCCTTCCAAATTTTTATTCTAATGTCACAGCCCTATCCTGCAAAGAACTGCAAAGCAGTAGTAGTTGCTATGGTTATCTCCTCCTGGAGATAATGTTAATGGAAACCAAAACAGCTCATTCTGTCTGAAGAATAGTGATATTCAAAATAAGAGCTATAACAAGGTCTCTCAAACTACCATGTTCTTTCAGCAATTACTTGGAAGATGCATTCAGTTTTGGATCATTTGTAAGTCATGCTGACACTGCTACAGAGGCTAGCACTTCACAGCGTCAAGCAGTTGTCCATGGGAAGGCAGGCTTTCTTCTTACAGTCTCTCTTATGGCTTCCTAACCTGAATTTCAAGTTCTATTTTGTTTCTAAAACAACCGTCAATTGAACAGCCACATGGAGTGAAATGAGATGGTAGAGACTTGCTTTGAACCAGACATCAATGTCGCCTATCCTGTAGCTCAGCCCACAGGCCATGTGGTCAGAATGGATGTACTCTGCAAGTCACTGGGTTTTCCTCGCATCGATTTTGGATTTCTCAAATTTTTGCAAAGTAAAAAGATCACTTACAGAAACATACATCAGCAATGATAGGACTCTGCAATAAGTTTCCAAAATTCCTTCTGTATCATATTGGGTAGAAATCCTTGATGTGGCACAAGTCAAACTAGGCTGACCATTAGAAACACTGAAGAATTGGCAGCTCACTGTCTGTTCATAAGCAGGTTGGATTACACCGTGAGAATCCCATAACTTTGCTGAGCTGGGCTCTGGCACCAGTGTACCTCTGTGGCTTCACTGCACTATGATGTAAACCAGTCTGTGATTTCCAGAAGCCAAAGATCAATCTTACAAATGCAACTCATTGAACATTAATGATACTTTGTCAATTAAACACATTCTCTCACCAATGGATTTTTTTTTCTTTTCTACCTTTGCTTCCCCTGCAGCAACCAATAGTACAGAAGGCTATATATGTAGCTACAAAAAGGTGTTTTTTGTTTTGTAAGATCTAAATAAACTCACAATTCAGTCTTTAAGATTAGGAATATATATTTAAAAAAAAAAAAAAAAAAAAGCTTAGAAACAAAAGAAATAAAACATTCCTGTAAGAAGGCATTGGTTTTAACTGGTCTTAGATGGAGAAGTTGCTAAGAGAATGATAACAGAGCTTTGAGAAAAGTTATTGGCCGGCTCATTCTTACAGTAGTATGTATGAAAGGCAAAAAATAACAAAAGTGGCTAATGCCTTTTAAAAGGTATTTGTAATGACAATGCAGTTTGAACAACAGACCAGCCCAGCCCTTCCTTTGAACTCCATTCTGATCCCCCACCAACCAAACCTATCTAGTCAAAACCCTAATCCCTAAAAGGAGGGATTGAAGTGATTCAAATGGAGATTGGATAACCCCTTTACTATCAGGGATTGGTACTTCTCATCAACTGCAACATGGAAACTTAGAAGTCTACAAACTGATTGCTAATCTGGAGTAATCTTACCATTTTACACCCAAACTGTAAAAACTTCTATAAGCTACAGTGTAATTGTAACTGTGGCAATGTACCGCCTTCCAGACTCGGGCGATCAACACCATTAACTTCTCTGTCCCACTGCACCTGTAGTGATTAGTCATCAGTACTTTAACATTACCTCTGCCAGTTGAAATAATGCTGATGTTCCACACTGCTTTGTTAAATCAGGACCTGAATGGGATGTACTTGAAGAAATCTAAAACAAACAAACAAACAAACAAACAAAGGAGAAGAATAAAGAAAAACATTATTTCTCCAGAATAATTCTTCTATGTTTATCACATCATTTGAAAGGATTATTTCTTTCCTCTTGACAAACTGCATTCATAAGATTACATAAGCATATCAAAAAGAAGCATAGACATGTGTGTGCTGTTACAAATAAAACCTCACTACTACACTGCACCAGTAGAAAACACCATGGACATTAAAAGCTATTTCCAGATTTGGGGATCTTCTTGACAGGATTCTCTCTGGAGGATGAAGTGAAGTACATACTTTCTCAGGTGTAAATAGACTCCAGAGGCTCTGTTAGGGCACTGCATCAACCTATACAAGCACACAATCCAGTTGATGCTTCTGAAAGCTTTGTTAGACATTGGTTTGCAAATTTCTTTCACTGTCGCAGTTTAAGAAGCTTAGTTCTCTCAGGACATGGCACTGCCTGGAAGTGTCCTTCAGGATTCATGTAACAGATTTGCTATGAAACCAAAGTCATGCAGGAGCTCTCAAGGCTTTGATAACCTTTCATGATTACTCTTCAGCATATGGGAAACTGTTTCGCAAGCAGATATCCAGTTATTCTCAAAGAAACTTTCTACTTCTATTAGATTGTATTCTACTTCAGCATTTTAGTGTTTTGCAACAATTTTCAGCTAGAAGTAAAAAAATAATTTTCTGAATTTATCAAAGCATCAGTCTCAGAACATCAGTATGAAGAAGAAAATGTTTACTGTTAAGGATATGTTCTAAAATCTTTGATCAACCTTGCAGGTTTCTTACAATTGCTCCCTTGGAAAGAACTTGAATTCTAGGAACTGAGGAACTAAAGCATTTGCTTTCATTCCAGTACCTCTATCAGCTCAGCTTTTACTGTTTCCAACCAACATGCGCCCAAAAACCTGCTTTGCAGAAATCACACTCATCACTGCCATACAGGAAAGAACAAAAAAAGTTAAGAATGCTATCTCTATGCCTCCCAAATTCTGATGATTCCAGCACAAGTCTCTGATTGCTGCTTACAGCCAGGCATTGTTAGTGCTGCAAACACGCTGCAGAACAGGAGAGATCTCCTTGCCTCCTGGAAGTGACATGCACTCAGCCATTGCCTTTCCCCTGCACTGAAGGCTGAAGACAAAGTGTCTGTGCATTCAGACACTGCACAAGGCCTAGCAGAGCTGATTAGTAGATTAGTAGCAGCCTGTCAGGCTTCAGGCTGCAGCATGGCTGCTCCAACTGCTTTTAGAGCTTTGAAATTCTTAGAAATCTTTAGGAAAGTATTACATCTGCTTTTACATTTTATCACCATCTGTAAAATACAGAAAATGAAGGCACAGAGTGGGGAATAAATAAGATAAAATTGGCGAATCCACATAAGAGAGATGTAGGAGAAGCAGAGCAGTGTGGCGTGCCAAAGCTGACAGGCTCCCACGCTCAGGATCTCTGCCATGCAAGCAGCATGCAGACAGCAGTCCAGCCCCCTCCAGTGCACAGCATCTGTGGTTTGGAGTTACAGTGGCACAGCACAAGTGTCTTCCAAATGAACCTGTAAACTTAAGATGCCCTGGAAATGATGTGAGCTTAGTTTTTGTGGGATACTCCAAACCAGGTCCTAAATTGCTATCTGAAAAGTTAAGCTGAATCTCACTTTATTTGTCCAATTACAATCCAGCATCATAGATATCTCCAAAAACCAACCAACAAACAAACAAAAACAGAATAAAATCAGCAGTTCTAATCTACTATAAGAACTAGAGATAAGGAAGATGTGCTAAGCACGCCTTTGTCATTTCAAATCAGAGCCTTTAACACTAATTCTGTATATTTACATAGCCTTGTAGGAATCCATCTGCACAATAGTCAAGACAGAGACCGTGGAAACCTGACCAACACGCTGAAGCCACACTGCCACACTCAAGCTTCACTTCTTCCACGAAATGCAGCACTAACCCTGCACTCCTGTGGACAGGCTTCTGCACTTCCCTGAACTTGGGTCTTCATAGTCACATGGCACCTCTGAATGGTGACTTCCAAAAGTCAGGCTGAACTCAACAGCCATACTACAGAACAGTACTTCTGCCTCATAACAAAGCACACCTCTGAAACTTCTAGCATCTCCAATTTGGTGTTACGAGCCTTTTTTCTGTCCCAGGGCTGCAGCAGTCACTGATGGTAGCTAAGGGTAATGACCCTTGCGTTGGCACTGCTGATAATGTTGCAGCACACACGAACAAACAGTATTCCTGCCAGAGATTGCCTCTAGGGTAAGGTAAATTTTCTTCTACTCGTGTAAGTCCTCAAAGTTAATCTTCCTAGTAGCATTACCATCCTTGCAAGGCATGAAATACTCATCTATGCAGGCTCAGAGCATGGCGTTTTCTTTCAGGGCTTCCAATCTTTTTTTCCTCTGAGAGGAATTAGCCTCAGCAGCAAGAACATATGCATGGACGCTGCTAGAAAAGATCCAAAGAACCACTTTCCTCACTGAAGGAAATCATTTTGGAAACAACAAAAAGTAGATGAGTAAGGTGGCAGGAACCTCCCTTACTCACTTGGAAAGCAGCATATAATTTTAACATTTATAGGCCAAGCCTCAAAAGTTTGATTTATCCATGTGAAAAAGGAGACCTCCACAAGGTTACACTGAAAACTCTTAGAAATTTTCTAGGATCCTGGGAGACCTTGCCTTGTATTCTTAATTTCTACTGACACTGTAAACTTCATAATTCAGCATACTACTTCAACGTCCAAGCCTTCATACAGATTCCTGGATGATCTCAAAGTTTACTTTTCTTCTCTTACTATTGGGTCCCCAGTTCAGCAATACACCTTCCAGGCTCTTAAATAAAACTTCACATTTTGAATCCCGGTATTCACCTCTTCGTTAAAAAATAATGTAATTGTCTTGTCATTGCTATTGTCCTGGGGTTAGTTTTTATTACAGTAATAAGGTTAATATTCCTGAAAGAAGATACAACTTCTGTACGGTGTCCAATAAAAGATGCACATTTACAAATGCATAAAGAAGAACTAGGTTCCCCAGGCCCACTACAACTGCCTAACTCTCTTATTATTTGATTATTTACTGAGTTATGCCTCTGGAAATACTGAATGTAATGCTAGAGCAAGCCTTGTACAACTCATATTCTGAGGGGGGGAAACCACACATCTTCTCATTGTGCTGTTAATGAGTATAAATTTTACCTCTGCCAACTGGAAGAGTGCCGACTTCCCACAGTGCTTTACTGGCTCAGGACTTGACAGCTGGGAAGTATTTGATGAAATCTAGGTTTTAAATGAACAGAGGAGAAAATATTTCAGTGTTAATCAGGAAAGAAAAGAAGGAAGCAAGAAAAATAGTGAAGAAAGAATTAGTTAAATCTGTCACTTTTAGATCGTTCTGGCAAATGGCTCTACTTCAAACTAGAAATCTCATTCAAAAAACACGTAACAGGCATTTAGAAGTTAGAAGAACACAAGCACCAATAATATTCTGATCACACTGTGTGTTTTATGCCTCTCCAGTTGAACAAAACGTACTTAAAAAACATGAACTGTGGTGCTCAGTGTTCAATAAAATTCTACTGTAAAGCCCAGGCATTATTTGGTCAGATATAGAGGAAGATTATTTATTTTCACAGGCACTGGATGCTCATTTCACCTCCTTTCTTTAGGAAAGAATGTCTTTACATTTGGAGATCAGCTTTCTATACAGATGTTGCTGTGCTAGCACCAGTGCTTGCTAAATAATTCTCACTGCATTTCAGAATTGCTTTTGCTGCCAAACTGTTCTGACCTGCTTCCAAGCACAGTATTACGAGTTCACCAACACAACAATTATCCATTATTTCTTGCATTTTATTTTGTCTGGTATGGCATTACACAGTAGTGCTCGGGGTGGAAGTCCTGGAAAACTTTTAGATAGGGGCAAGATCACGAGTGTTTCTTTGACATCTGCCTCATTATAAAAATATACATATATGATCATGACCTTTTGGATGGAAAAATTATCAAAGTAGCCTCTTTTTTGGCATTTGAGTTTGTTGTTGCTAATAACTGGATTATTTGAGCAGCTTTCCCATGGTCAAGGAGATTAATTATATGAAAAAAATAATTCTGAAAAATCCTGAAGTTTTTTTGTTTGTTTGTTTTTTCTTAACTGCCAGCTACTAAAGATATGTTGAGTAATGTCTGACCATGCATTATTATTTTAGTAATAAACTAAAATAATTCAAAATCCTATTTCTCCCTTGGTGCAGCTCAGTGAACACACCTAACATCCCAAGACTCCTTGTACCCTGTACCTCATGGGAAGAGAGCTTTACATTTTCCTCTTTCTACTGTAATACATTCTCAGTTCTTAATGGCTTCTTCAGCACAGTATGAATGGTAGAAAAGGAACGCTCACACATTAAAGTGCAACCTGAGAATATGCAGGCATATTTTGCCTTCTGATGCACAATGTGAGAAAAGAGGAAAAAAATTAGTTTTGACAATGGGTTGGGCACTCAACAAAATGTGAGAACCTTGCAGTACCAATTAGGAGAGAGGGATGCAAAATTCTTCTTAAGAAAAAAAAAAAACAAAAAAAAAACAACACACAAAAACCTTCATCAGCAAGACAACAAGCAGAAAGAAAAAAAAGAAAGAGACCTATTTAGAACCTGTTCTGCCAAAGTTCCTGGCGAAGTGACAGAAGAGTGCAGCTGATCGATCAGGTCTCCAAGGGATTACATAGCTCATTCTGTGCCTAAACACTATCTTCCTTTTTTAATCAGAGTAATCAGTACCTGCAGTACCACAATCACAAATAGCTCCTTCTTATGCTGAGGCGTAACTTAGGGACCATTATGATCCAGTTACTTACTATACCTTGAACCATGCAGGTGATATTTTAGCTCCTGTATTACATTGTAGTTTGCACAGGATGCATGTGTCAGTTTTTCACTCATCTCTCCACCTCCCAGTCATTTCATTTCAATAAAGATATTTAATGATTGCAGCTCATAGACAAACATCAAGTATATTTATTTTAAATAATGACTTCACCATAGAAGACTACAGCTTTACCTAAGAGAAGTTGGAAGAGAACAAACTGAACTAGATCTCACAGTCTCAGTTTCACAGCATTTTGATCAAACTTTTGGTTCAAGACTTCTTCAAGGCTTTAACAGAAAGGGTTGCCATCAAGTCTACTAAAAGTGAGTATGTGAGAAGGAAAAAGCCATCCTCACGCTTACGTTTGTTCTTTAACAATGATAAACTGTTGGACTAGCAAGGAGAATTCTACTCTTCTGAATGCTGGATATGATTGTATGTATTTCAGTTAATCAACCTAGAGGAAAGCTTCTGAAGAGCAGCTGTAAGTGAACAGTTTGGGTTTTTCAGCTTCATTTTACTTAAAATGGTTAAACCAGCAGTTTTACTGCTGTTACTCTCTGGAAGCTTTATCTATGTTTAGTAAATGATAAAACTTTATGTAAGTAAGCCTAAGAGGTACTAGTGTCTTTTTTCTACAGAGCAGTCCTCACCATCTGTTTGCATTTGCCAAACACACATCCATGTAAGACCAAGAGAGCAAGGGACCCCATCTGCTCTGCTTCCCTCACACAGCAAGTCGAACAACAGCAAACAGCCCATGTGAGCAGGCAGCTTGCAAACGACCATCATGCAAAGTAGCACAACCCACTGCTGAGAAATAACTGGCCTACATACTGGCTTTCCACAAAGGTAGCAGTGAGAAGAAAAAAAAGAAGGACCAAGTATTTGCAAGATCAGAGTAGAGAGAAAAAGCCAAGAACGTAACTTGGCCACACACCAAAATTAAAAACAAACAAGCAAATAACAAGTTATGAGGACATCGTGTTATCTTGGAAGACCACTGCAATTGCTGCATGCACACTCAGAGGATCCAGCAAAGTATCACTCCCATGATTCTGATCAGCTGTTGCAGCAAGTCAACATAGGGCATGTCTCATTAATCGTATCCTTATCAGCTTTAATTGAAGACTACAGCACACGTGGGACAGAAAGCCAGGCTGATTGAGGTTCTAAAGAAAGAATTCTATACTACATCAGCATATAATGAGCCATTTCTGAGTGACAGCAGACTTGGACACCTCTACTCAAGGAGTACATTTAAGATGACAAATCCACTTAATGGGACCACCGTCTTCACAAAGAAACATTCTCACTCACCCTGCTGCAAAGCAGTAAAGAGAAAGGAAACATATGACGAACGCCCAGTCAGAACCAAAAATGAGTTGGGATGGCTGCCAGAAGTCTCCAGGCACCACAAGCACAATTCACATTTCTTCACAGGTCTACTTGGCCACTGGCTATATAACTACTTTCTCTCCCTCTCTCCCTCTTTTTCTTTTGTAGCACCGTACACTGCTGACAGCAATCTATTGCAAATTGCTTACCATAATTTAGTTTACTAAATGCAGTAATGCATTCATATTGACAAGACCCAGTAAGAAGTGGCTCAAAAAGGAATGGGATTTTTGCCAGACTTGACAAAGACACCCTGTGCAAATGGGTGAGGTCTTTATAAGTCTTTATAACTTTAAAGTCTTTATAACTGAAAGAGCACAAGCAGCTTTAACAGCTAGAATAATTACAAAAAAAAAAAAAAAAAAAAAAAAAAAAAAAAGCAGCTTAAAGAGGTTCTTTATCATGCATGCATAGTATTTTCCCCTGGAACAAAGCAAATGAAAATCAAGTGGCAATCTTAAAATCATTTCTCTGTTACTTTAGATAAAACACAAAGTTAGTCACTGCCACTGAGGTTTTATAACGACAGTGAAACATATGAGGAATAACCGTGAAATAAAGTTAATTTTGGGATGATGGGTAGTTCTAAACACTGAAAAATAGCCAAGAAAATACAACTTCCCCCAGACTACAGTAACATTTCAGGATTTTTAACAGGAAAAAAGATAAGTCCTGACTTTAAACTTGTCCTCTCCAAAATCTAAGTAACTTTTAGGCACCTCTTTTTCCCCAGTATTTGATGATTCATACGCGTACTCCAGTGTGACAAGCGAGTTGCCTTAGCATAGTGGTATGAGATCCAATACACTTCCACATTCTTAAGACAGTTTTCAGGTTTGATGTTCTGTTGTTTCATCATTTAGGAGAGAACCGATTTTAGATTCTGTGAAGCTCTGAAGGTGCTGTGAGTCAGGTTTCATGAAATGTTTGAAAATGCTGCACTTGTGGGACTTTGAGCAACCTGGTCTAGAGGGAGGCGACCCTGCCTATAGTAGAGGATTGGAATTAGATGATCTTAAAGGTCTCTATAGAGTCATTCTGTGATTCTGTACTGGAAGGATATCATATTCTGCTCAACTTCACATATAACTAAAATTGCTGTTTAACTGAAATGTATGATGGCCAAGATTTTTGAAACTAACTTAGCAAATTTACTTGTGCAAGTCTTGTCAAAAAAAATTCACAAGAACGTTCTGTAGTTTAGATCTTTTACTTTCTTGGCTTCACCTGCTAAATTCCACTAACTTTCCTTGGGAGAACTTTCCAGTTTAACCTGCAACTTAAAAAAAAAAAAAAAAAAAGTAGCACATACAGAAGCTTCTTTACAACTACAGACACTACTGTATATTTTATAGGATTGCTTCTATTCGGTTATTTCATGGCACCTGAATCACAATTTTCTTTTTTTTTTTTTGTAATTAGAATTTTTAAGGAATAAGTCAAGGCCTAATAAATCGTCCTAGCCAAGCTAAAAATACAATATATACAATTAGATTAATATCTAAGAGAAGGAAGTCTGTTGTTTGTAGTCAAGCCTCTGTAACCCCACGGAATAATCAACAGGGCATCTTTTCATCCCATAATGTTCCTCCAGAATAGTACTAGCTCCAATAGTAGTTCCTTTACATACACACTGAGTATGCCTTTAGTTTAAGAGATTCTGCGAGCAGTACCAGACTCCCCCAAATGGAGAAAAAGAGAATGTGTGAGAAATCAGTTTACAGAGGAACATTAAACACATCGGTGAAGAAACTTCTAAAAGCCACCTATAAGAACTCTAAATTTTCTACACACGAAGGAAGGAGGATAGCTTACATACTGAAGGGTAGTTTACAAACTTAGAGGTCACCACCTAACAATGCTGCTACATATCCTGGCAGCTGTTATGAGCAGACTTTGACCTGCAAGCCTATTTTTTAGAGGATTCCTATGTCTAGGGCAGCTACCGTTTTCCACTACTGCAGCTTCTTCCATGAGCAGTGCATCGTGTCACTTCAGAAGGTCTTATTTTTTTCAATATCCCTAAGCCGCTTAACCTTCAGTGACAACTCTTATTGGCTCCATGCCTCCTCAGAGCCTCTCCTTCCATGTTTTAGCTATCATACCTCAGCAAACTGAAATAATGCAGACTCTTCCGTTTGTTTTACAGCTCCTGGAACTCCTGGCTGTGATGTGCTTGAAGAGATCTGTGAGGAAAATAATTTTTAAATTATTTAGCTCTTCAGTTTCATTATCAAACTTCAACATATAAACTTCAACAAGCAAACACTATCTGCTTTCCCAGCAGACATGTAAATGGTGATCCTGAATCGTTTCTAACAATGGAAATCTTTCCTAGGACCAACTAAACAGACTAGAACCTTTCTGAGGGGCTTGTTTTTGCCCATTGATATGTTAAAAGAGAGTTAATAACAGGAACTTGACACTGTACTATATTTCACTATTCAGTTAAAGACCCAGGCACAGAATGGTGGTGCTGATAGAGCACAAATTGCTACTTTGTGCGGAAGATAAGTGAGGGCAGAGGCACAACACATACACATACTTTTAGAAGAGATAACAGATCTATCCCAAAAACTAAGGAAGCTGCATTTTAAAAAAATATATTTATTTTTACCTTTTCTAGCTTGTGTCACTTCTTTTTGTTGCAAACAGCACTTCAAATTAATCGTACATCTAGGCACAAGTAATGTTTATTTTGCTGCTAATACACATACTTGCTGCATACCAAATGTGTGCAGCCTCACTACAAACAGTTTAACATCCACGAAAAATAAACTTGCTAATATGCATTTCTAGTTACTGAATATCAGTGAACTACTTCTGAACTGCAAGCTTCAGCAGTGCAGGTGAGCTTATTTCCTCGCATTCACTGAAATTCTTTGATGGGTAAGGCAAAGTCGGAGTTCACAAGCCCTTAGCAAGAGTGTATCTTGCAACACAGCACAGTTCCTCTGTACAGACATGATTCTGGCACTTTTTTTGTTTAAGCACTGTAAAATGAACTCAGTATTTGGACTTGTATTTGTCTTACTGGTTGCAAGACTTTACAGCAACACTGAAGAAACAGACCGTTATCAAAATGAACCATACAAAATACCATGTTGTTCAACTGACAGGGTAAGTAATCAGAAGTATCTCACTGGATTTTGAATTATTTTCATAATTAACACTGGAATTTATCAACTTTAAGAAGCTTCTAAAAATTGTTTTTAATTGATGGCGAATCAGGCATTCCCCTCTTGCTAACAAGAAAAGCCAGTAAGTTCTTTAGGAGCCTAATCGCAGATTTTATATTTCACAGTAGTCTTTAATCAGAAATAAAGGTTCAGTGACTATGACTATACTACATTTTGAAAGTCTCAGCTTTTCAGTTAGAGCTTAAGGTCTTGTGAGCTAATGTTAAAACTAAAATCAGTTTATGTACGCAAGGATTGGCATCTACCTGCTCTGTAAGTGATGACATCTAGAGAGAAATATGAAAGTATATGAAGAGATGAATAATATAGACAAGGCAGTGAGATTTGTGGCTGGTGTGAAACCAAATAACAAAATGAAGCCCCTCCTGTGACAATTTCCTTTTTCCCCACAGACACTCAAATACTGTCTAGCATCCTGTCTAATCAATATTGCTTTAGCTAAATATTTATGTCACTGGATTAAGATCATTTCAGAAGTTGAAAAGATGTAAGCAAGCAAGTGATGCTTACAAAGGGCCTGGATTCTTTGTAACCCTGTGATATTTATGCCAATTAAATCCGTTTGAATGAAGTAGGGTATAATTAAAAGCAAAAAACTCATCTCAGTGGCACTGTATAGCAATTCCTAGAAATACGTTAATAGCAATGTTGTAGAAGCACACAGAGCTGTTTTGTGGTTATAGAAGAAAATTTTGGAAATTCCAAACCTACAATTATTTTTGATAGAGCTGGTGAATAAGGCAGTCACAAAGAATCATAGAACGATTTCTATGGGACCTCAAGGAACCTCAAAGATCATCAGGTTCCAACCTCCCTGCCACAGGCAGGGTTGCTAATCACTGGATCAAGTACCAGATCAGGCTGCCCAAGGTCCCATCTGACCTGGCTAGATGACATAATATAACATCCAAACGTAGGTATCAACCGGAGTCTGTCGACACAAGTGCAGGAATGAGATCTCCACATCACTGCTTAAATCACAGCTCCATTATTACACTAGGGTTTCAGCTGTGTTCCTGAACACATCTGCACTTCAAATCAGACGCATCTACCTGACACGCGATCCAATAACTGTAACCCCCAAAAGAAGGAAGAAATGCTACCATGAATTTCAGTCAGTTTTTTTGATTTCTCTTTCAGCTGAACACCAGATACCTCTTGAAAGAAAACACTGGGAAAAAAAACAATCCCTCTTTTAAAGAAACTCACCTCTGCAAACTGAAACAACGATGACTTCTGACACACTTCCGTAGAATCAGTCGCATCAGATTGGCAAGTATTTGAGGAAACCTGAAACAAGGAGTGTGGAGATTAAGACCTCATTGGTGTTTCTCTCAAGCTAAGAACAACTGGAAGCAAAATGACATGGCAGGCAGTAGTAACATGAAGAGCTGTTTAAGAAAAGATGGACAATGTCATGTTTCACACTCCTGGACCAGCTAAATCAAATTAAAAGGTGAAAACAGCTCAGTACCTATACTAAAGTGTTTGACAATCACATAAGAAATAGCACAAAAATACCAGGGACTGGGTTTTTGGTTTTGTTCTTTTACTTCCTGTTACTCCAAATTCTGCAAGTTATATGCAACAAAACACTGATTGTTTTGGGCTGCATACACAGCTATCTTGTATTCAAGATGCAATCCATGCCACTATCTCTTCAATTTACACTTCCACTAATTACTTAGAAGCTAAAAAAAGTTTTTCAAATGGCTGAGTGTTGCTAAGTGACAGAAATAATTGCTAATCACTTCACAGCATGAAATAAGTAATTAAGGGCACCACAAGCCTAGAACTGCTTAAATAACTTACATAAATGGATATCTGTTTAGAGGTGCTTTTGAGGAGTATTGCAAGAAAGCATTGTACTTTCCAATATCAAAATTCAGACAAGAGACTGCTCCAAAAAATAAAAATAAAAAGAAATCACAACACAACAGCCGTATTAGAATTCATACAGACCTTATCCATAGATTACTGAAAATTATCATTCTAGCATCCTTCAGTAAAATAATTGTCTCGAATATCAAGTGATGCATTTGAGTATAAAAGACTTACAATATGTGAGTCTCAGAAGTTAATACACTGCTAATATAAAATAGAGTATGTAGAACAACTTACAGGAAACAGGAGGAAACAGAGGGAGGCTTTGTGGGATTTTCGGAAAATTGAGTAACAGGGTGGAATTTTTTTCCCCCAGTGATTTTTAATTTTTCATGAAATTCCAACTTACTTGAAATATTTCAAGAAGAATGTGGTATTTATCTTCTTTGTTATCAGAGCATATATGTCAATAGCACGTATTGGTGAATACCCAGTTCAGCTAGCAAGTGCATCTGTTGCTGCAGGAACCAAGCACTAAAGGGTAACCAGGCCTACAGCTTGTACTGCTGCTCATACTGCTGTCTGCTCCAGATGCTTGAGCATAACAGCAGCAGCAGAACGTTTTGCTTCAGGAATCTGCCAGCACTACTACTCCCAGAACACTGGATCCAAACGCAGGAGAATGATGCCACATGACAATTTGCTGAGGTACGCAGCTGAACTTGTTTTTTTCCCCTGCCGCAAAACCACATAGCAACAATGCTCCCATTCTATTTACTGAATGTGGCCCCAAGCCTGCTGGAATTCAGTAAGTATTTAGACAACGCTCTCAGACACAAGGTTTGAATGTTGGGTGGTCCTGTATGGAGCCAGGGGTTGGACTCGGTGATCCCTGTTAGCCCCTTCCTAGTCAGGACATTCTGCAATTCTACCCCAGGAGCACAGTCTGAGGCCACATGCTGGGACAGGCACAATTTCTTCATGTCACAAGATGGGAACAGCGTGCTGCGCAAAGAGTGAGGCCCCATTTCCTACTGCCTTGTGCTTAAAGGATAGATTTTTTGGTGCCCTGTCAGTCAGCAATTCTAAGACCATTTTGTGGTTAGAACAATCATGGTTTTACTATTAATTTCTGATATCTTAAGACAGTGCTGCTGCCTTCATTTAACAGCGGCATTACGTTGAGGATGTCATTTTTACCCAGCTGTTGCTCCCACACTTTTGGGGGAAATTGATCATCTCCAGGACTTCTGAAGACACACATACCTACTGCCAGATCAAATGTAACTCAAGTATTACAATAATTACTGGAGGGAACAGCTGCACAAGTAGCACCATTGTACTGCTTTTCTTTCCTGCAGTAATAAAACGTCCTCAATTTTTCATCATCTCTTCTTCACTTTCCTCCTACTTGCTCATCCTCCACTGCACTGAAGACATCTGTTTCTAATTTACAGCCTCGGCCATGACACTCTTTAAAGACCTGGGCAGACCAGCACAACACTGCACAACCACCCTGCAGCAGTGAGGGGGAAGCCATTAGGATGCTGCCACCATGAGCCCACAGTCCCTTGTGGTTACCAAAGCCTGCTCAAAAATGAGTGAAAACAGATCGTCTTCCACACTGACTGATGCAAGGTTTTAATGTGGTCCTGATATGCAGCAGCAAGGGGAAACTGGTACAAGAGCCAGGTCTTGGACAGTGCTACACATTCAGCCTTTTCTTGGAAGTAACCATAGCGGCCACTAGGTGCTGCTGTAAGGCAAGCAACGGACCTCGTGGGCAGGGAAGGGAGGCGAGCTTTAAAGCAAGGAGTACTCCTCACAGAGTTTCAGGTTTTCTGCAAATAAAACAGCTGCAATAAAGTAACAGGATGAGGCTTTCTCTCCAGTAATGAGAGTAATAAGAACAAGCCTCTTAAGCATTTTTATTCCCGTGTTAAGCAAAATGTGCTTGTATATGCATCACAGTTTTGCTTAACTGGTAAAAGGACCCAAATGCCAGGCAAAAATTGCTTGTGCCCATCTTGTATTTGCTGTTGCTAAGGTTTTTAACTTCCCTCGCCTACCATTTAATAATAGCTCTAAGCCTCTGTTTGGAAATCCACCATATGATAATGAATTCTCTTATTAGATGAAAAATCTTCTTGTCTATTGAAAAAAAATGATGGGCATAGAAACATAACCAGCATATAAAGATGATAACTAAATCATCAAAGCACTTCTGTAAGCATCACTACTGTGCCTCTTTCACTTTGTTTTGCTTGTGTATGCTCACTTTGTTACCTGGTATCTGGAGAACTGACAACTCCAACTTTAAACAACTGATTTGAAAAACCCCTTTACATCCATTTAACACATGCTTCAGAAAAAAATATATACATATATCAGTGGGTGTTAAATCAATTTACTTGGAATTAGAAGAGTTATTAGCTAAGTATTCTTCTCCTCATCTTTTCTGAAGTCCTGAACAAACTGTGTGACAGTGCTCCTCTCCTTTATATCAACAACTTTTAAGATGTTAATAGTATCTTAAAACATATGCTTACAAGGCCACCCAAGCCTGCATTATAATACATACACAGACAGTTAAACTAAATAATCTCCATTATGGCAATTCCCCAATTGAAGAACCCTATATACACTTTTTTTTTTTTAATGGACATGCACATTTTAATACAAGTGAAGACTACGTGATTTCATTTAGAATGTTCTTTTAAAAAATGATACTTTTTTTTTTTTCTTTTTCAATGCAAGTGTCAGAGTTTTAGATCCTGCATACGCTTATTGTCTTATATGAAAACAGTATCTATATTTTCCACAGATAAGCAAAAGCTGAACCTTTTTACTGGAGGATACTTCAACAGTTACCTCAGGACAAAGAATTCTCTCTCTCTCATGTTGATAAAATCCAGCTGAAGTCTCCCCATTCAAGAGAGAAGAATCTTACCATTTCTACAATGAATTAATGAGCTTTTCTTTTTAGCTAGCCATGCCATCTCCCAGCTTATTCTGCCAACCTCCTAAACACTGTTTAAGTGTGAAACTATTCAAGCATAAACATGGAAATACAGCTGTAGGCTGTCCAGGTGTGCAGACGTGAACATCTCATGAATCCTCTTTCGTCTGTCCCACAGATGACAAGCCAGAAGTGCCATTCAGTTAACCAAGCCTAAGCAGTTTTGTGGTATTTTACTGCATTTGGGGAGTAACACAAGCCTACAAAGTATTTGCTCTGTATCTAACCATCACAGACGGACTGAATCAAAAGGTAATAAGTGAAAATGACTACCTATTTTACACAATATATCAGGTACTTTATGAACAATTTTCAAAACGGTCCCATAAAGAAGGTCATGAATAACAATAGTCTAAAGAAAGACCAAAGCTCTCTGCCTTCCTGGAGATATGCAGGAAACTCTTATTTACTGCAGTCTTCTATAAAAATGAAATGTTTGCAACGGCAAATAAACTGCTAACTTCCCTTTAGACACAAAGAGTCAATAGGAATAGAATGCAATACTTTGATTACTTGTTAGCACTTGCATAGTTTCAGAATGCATAAATAATGACTATATGGAAATTATTAAATATTTATTCTGCTATTTGTGCCAAGCTGTGTTCTTGTACTATGCAAGAACATAAGCACATGAGTTCCTTGACCAAAAGAGCTTGCAAATCACTTGCTTGTTTACAGTCGCTCTATCTCATCTTTTCCATCTGTGATAATATCCTCTCATGGGGCAGACTTGCCTGGTCGGATCATGCATTCATCAATCCATGGAGTGAGTACCAAACTGGTATCAAACCCTGGACTGGTTGGAGAACAAGACCCACATCCCTGGACTCACATTTCAGTTCCACCTGAGGTTACCCATGAAGTATCTTAAGTTCTGCCTCCCATCTGACAAATATTTCCCTTCAGAGCTCTTTTTAAACTGAAAACTTCTAGTAATGTAAAAAAGAGAGATCCTTACCTCTTGTGCAGTCAGGGCATGTTCCCCAGCTAAAAGCAGCATACTCAGGCCTCCCATTTGTGTAGGATCTGTTAAAGAATAAAACCAAGTCTTACACGTTTATTCATTTGCTTGTTTAAAGAACCATTTGCAGCGCTAAACCCCCAGAAGACTACTTGTCACAGACACTCTAAGCAAGCTGCCATAAAAGGCGGTTCAAGAGAATCACAAATAACCATTTCTGTACCCTCTGGGAAAGGCTTTCAAAGCTGTTTGAAGGATTTAATTGGATTTGTGTGCTTAACACCCCATTGCGTGGATTTACAAATTTTACCGCCAAAGGTTTTATGCACTACAGAGATGAATATCTTTAAAACAGCAAGTGTAATGATCCCATACACAAGCATACACAAAGAAACTCTAATATCGCACTTGCTCATAACTCAATGGATGCTCCTCCCAAAGGAGTGGCTCCCTACCTTAGATAATGAACCAGTAAAGGGATGGAACAGAATGACATGATAAAGCTCTGAAACAAAATTCCAATTTTCTTTTTTACTTTAATTTAGAACTGCATTTAGTGGTGAAAAGTGTCAGCCTGACAACTCTGAAGCATGAAGCACTCTCAATCCTCTGTGCCAGTACAGCACAAGCACTGGCCAGGCAGGCTGCCTGCCTACTTGTCGCCCAACCAATACAACATTTAACTGAGGAAAACAGAATGAAGATAAATGTTATTTCTCCAAGTATTCGGTTCTGACAGTTCCTAGCCTCCAGCCTTCCTGCACCTCACAAGTTCTGAAAAAAACAGGAACAAAAAGTGAAAACTATCAACACTGGTACAAGCTCATGAAGTAGCTTTTCCACTCCAAATAGTGTTTGCTCTTCATCATTATGAAGACTAATTGTCTGATCTTGGGAGAGTGCCTTGGAAGCAATACAGGGTCACAATTTAACAAAGAGCCGTACAGAAGGAAGGACAAAGTCCATGGTCCAAATGGCTCGTACAGCAGCTACAGTGTGAGAGAAGGAAAAATCATTATACTTGCTGTATTTCTGGAAACATCAGTACCAAATGATACTCAGGTCTCCCTGAAGCATGTAATCTCGTCTTCCAATTTCCTTTAACTAGCCTATACAAAAGCCTCACTCTACAACAATAAATTCATATGCCCAGGACTATTCTCTGGAACGAGGGCCAACTGGCACAACTCCCCTCTTCTGTGTGTTTGAAAACTGTTAGCCTCCAACAGAATGGTTGCATCCAAAACATCCGTGGGGAAGACGATTCCTGTGGCCCATTCCAACTTGTTAACCATGCCTATGTGTTTTTTGGAGAGTCAACTGACATGGGCAAAAAAACCGTGTCACAAACCTCCTATTGGTTTATCACTGCAGATGATCAAGTTCCAGTTCAGAAGTACACTTGCTGGTACTGTTAATTCAATATTGTGGGCATTGCCAAAGCTTTTCTCTAAGACAGCATCTCACATTGACAATCACAGGATAAGATTTGTTAATGATGCTCTCTTAAAACAGCAGTAAACCAAAAATACAGAGAAAAGCCACATGAATAAACCAAGTTCAACTACTATATCAAGAATAGAAGAGTGGTCATTATCTTAATACAGTCCAGATAGTATCTAGCTTTAACAACTGAAAATAATTTTTTTTTTTTCTCTAATGAACAAGTAACATGTGTTTGTTTTTTAGCATTTTACTTTACAACGAATTTTAAAAAGCAAAACGATATTAAGACTCTGCAAAGAGATAAGGCACTATAAGAAGGATAGAACTAGTAATAAGTAGCTGAATAAACAGAGGCAAAAAATAGGAAGCATTGGCAAATACTTAACCACAATTGATCCCTCAATATAGAACCATTTACCATGAATTTACTTGATCAAGTAAAGTTCTGTGCTTCAAACAAGAGGGAATCAGAACAATTCAAAACTGAACACACATCTTGAAAGACAATGACTCAGCAGACAGGTAATTTGGAAAGAAAGCCTGGAAGAAGATCTCCAGATCTCCATGTGATCTTACTGAGCTCCATATTTCACAGTTATGGGCTGGCTAGTTGCTTTCTACTTTGTTTATTCCCATTGAAAAGACAACGTAGAAGCCAAATCTTAAGCATTTAGAGCTATCTTCCAGTTTTCAGCTTAAATCCATTCAGAGTAAAGCAAAGGTACACTTCTTTTTTTCTGTTGCTCACACCTTCAAGCTGAGATCAGTTTTCTTTAAATGGTGTTTTCCCCTGTTGTATTTACAGCAGTGGCCCCTGTCCATCCTCTACTAGCTTTACTAGCCTAAAGAAACCAAGATCTTCTGATGTCATCAAATGTTCATCTTCCACAGTCCTTGTAATTCCTGCTGTTCTCCCCTTCAGTTACTCCAGGTAGAGTCAGACCTTCTTGTACATGTATGACCAGCAGGGCAACCATGTCAGATGAGCTCTCACCTGTGGTCTGTTCAACAGCATTAGTTTTTCCTCTACTGTTCCTGAAAATGCTTTGCCTGACATACTGCAGTACAGCACTGCCTTATGCCCACATCACACTGATCATCCATAGCCACTCTCTTGAGTTTCACCCTAGTTGCCTTAGGTCTTCCTCCTCAGTTTTTGCCAACTGAAGAACTAGTGTACAGCTCTAAAATTCTTCCCCTACTTCTTAAATATCTTCTTTGCTGAGTATGTGGTCTCAGATTTCTGCTAATCAAATAAGTAGTCTAACACCAGGACAAGGATAGATCTATTTTTCCCTACTTCCTTCAAGTAAGCAAATACTTGAAGTGTTCATTTAAAACTAAAAATCATGAGGAGAAAAAAAAAAAATGACAGCTTAGTGTAAAGTGAACATTTAATTTTGCGCTCAAGCAAATTGAATATTTGTGCTGCAGCTGGAGCAAAGGGCTAGCATTTAACTGATCTTGATAAAGACAAAAATCCTTTCACTTAGGTTTGAAATTACAAAATAACTTCACATAAAGGAAGACAAAAAGGTATACACACAAACAGTGCCATGTGCTTATAGAGCTTTCTCAGCACAATGTTTCTCTTGTGGCACTAAGAACCTACTAGCATGAAAGAGGAAGAATTCTAAGTACTACTTTAATGTACTTTATAGTTAAATCAACAGTTACGAGAAAATAGCATACACATCTGACTTGCAGAATAGGAAGTGATTTGTGGCTTCCTCAACAGCTTTCAGCAGTGATTAAGCTTACACCATCTCACTGTATGGAAATTATATGTTTTCTTTGTATTAGTCTGGTTAGAAACTTAGAAGGCTAGCTTATTCAACATCACCATTTTTCAGTCTGAGAAAAAGAAAGAACTGAGAAAGAGCTAAGTGCAAAGAATCATCAAGTAAGAGTTTCAATTAACTTTCACCTGACTTCAGAATTAAGCTTCTCTCTAAAGAATAAAACTTGCATCTCTATCATGACATTGGCTATTCTAGGGAGTGTCTTCTTCTGAGACAGAAATGTAAAAGCATTGGAAATCCTCCACTTCTCTCCAGGAAAGATGTTGCTCACTTTAGCTCTGTAGTTGTGACAGAAGATGTTGTAATGGACACCTTCACTTGAGAACAGCTGTCTTTGCCTTATGTCCTCAAACAGAACACAAGAGAGCCATGCCATGACAAAAGCACGCTCAAATGCAACTCACAGGCTGGACAAGCAAGGACACCACTAATGATGCTGCAGATCAGAAGTCCAGTGATGCTGTTACATAGCAGGTAAGAGGAGAGACGGCCAGCAGGGGGACATATTTCATTTAATTTTGGAAAACATAACAAGCAAAAATAAATCAAAAAAGGATTTACAGTTGCAAACAAGTAAAGCAGGTTTCCTGGAATGACTGTGGATTGTCATATAATCCTTGTCCTAATGAAGCGATCTGCCTTGAAGACGCAAAACAGTCAAGCCAGCAGCATTTCAGAGATAAAGGTATTTCTACGGTCATTCAGCTACATTTTAGTTAATCAGCCAGTACACAGCCTGGATTTTAAAAGGGGAAGTCCTAGACTCAGTTCAGTTCAGATTTGAACTAAACTATCACATGGATCTGAGGAAAGAACACAAAACATGGTTACCATGACACTTATAATCCATTTGGTGTGACAGATCTGTTGTGATTTAGATGCTGCTACATCTCTGACAGAAGCAGTCGTTAATTCATGGGCTACTGCTATTCTCGTGAAATAGCCAGAATTCATTGGCATGGGGACTGGAGCAAGACCCTCATGAATACTCACTTACTCAGTTTGAAGTGAAGGAATTTAAAAAAAAATAAAAAATCACATTAAAACAAAATAGGGCCTTCTTCAGAACTGAATGTTTCCATAGATTAAATGGATTACTTTCTAATTAATTCTTAAGTTCTCTGTCAGATGTTGATTAAAGATCTCTCCTATCAGGTGAGGGACAGCAGCTGGGCAGACCAAGAGTTACTGCTTGTTCTTCCAGTTAAGTCAATGAACCTGTAATGAAAATAAATTATGCCTCTCTGCTAGCCAAAGCAGAATGGGATGAGGAGGCTTGCAGGTTTCAGAACTGATCTCTCATATGTAACTATGTGCCATGAAAAAGTATTCTGAATTACATTTCACAGTTTCGTTGCGGCCAGGAGGAATTTCATTACAGGAAATTTCATACCACTAAACTGGCAAAAAAAGTATAAAAGTCTTCTTATCCCTTTTTTTTTCCCCTACTCATTCCACAAAATCATTTTCCCTTCTCTAGCACATGATGTCACTAAGCAGAAAAATCTTGTCACACAATCATCATAAACTAGGTAGGATACAGAAAAGTCTGTAGTGCATCGACATTTATAAAATCAGAAACTTTAAAGAGGAAAGGTGTGAGGGAATAATTTTTCACTCAGTTCTTAAGCTGCTAGTATTTAAGAACATTAATATATCTATACTTAAAGGTCACGACTGCAACAGTTTGCCAGTTGTGGATATCAGCAAGAGATTATCTGTTCTTCACCAACACAAGCTCTCCAACTGTACTGCCTTTCGTTTAAACTTCTTATTTTGTAAGTAAAATGAAATCATACTTTTCTTGCTTTAAATACAGACAACTTAGTTCCTCAGGAACAGCCATCCACAAGAACTAGAAAATGAACATCTCTAGTTCTAATAGCAGACAATCCTGAGCTAAAGAATTAATCACATCTGGACTCCAAATGACCACACCTTAAAAGATGTCATATATATCTGGACTTGACTCTAAAAAAAAAAAAAAGGATAGAAAATGGTACAAAGTTGTTACTCAGAAGTTTAAATACAGTCTTAGCAACCTAATTTGGGGACATGAAACATATTTGTGGGTCTCAATGTCAAGTCCTCAAACAAAATAAGGATGTTCACCTATGAGAAACCTCCCAAGACAGAAGTCTCACCTGCCATCCCAAAGTTAAGCTGTGGCATTTCTTCACTTTTTGTCACTTTCCTCGGGCTTGGTATATCTTTTGCAGAGTCTGAAGGGAAGGCCCACAGCTTCTTCCTGCTTGTAACAGTGGATGTCTGGGTTTTCACAGGTTTGTTTGTTGTGGGGCACCACTTGTACCCTGGATTTGCCTTCATAAATGCATCCTTGTACTAGAAAAGTAAAGAAAAGAAAAAATTACTGATCATGACACTATCTACAGGGCAGCAGAGTATACTGCCTGAAAGAGGATTCAATAAATAATCCTTAAATGCCTTGATTTTTTAACTGTGTGCTTAAGAGTCCAACCACCTAACAAGAAGATAAGCAAAGCCGTATGTTAAAAAAAGTCACTTTTCTCTTTCCTTTCCTGAGGGCTTATTATGCACATCAGGCCTAAGTTCTGATCCTGCAAACAGCTCCCTGGGGCTTGTATTCTCACTGTCTGAGAGAGAAAAAGAGAGAGATCTTCTCTGAGAGAGAAGATAGCTTCTGAATTCTTTTTCAGGTACAGTCTGTTTATTTTCTAGTTTGAACGAAATGAAAACATTCACTTGGCAATAAATGCAGTGTAATGTCCCTTCACGCTTGTTCTCTAACAAGTTGATATTTTAAAATATTTGAAGTAAATTCTTTTCCAAGCCCAGCACATTCATTTGAAAATAAACTGCTACCAATATTTTCTCTTTTTCAGTAACTCCTGATAAGTCACCCCAGCCCTCTCTCCAAAACAATCCTGTGTGACTGCAATAAAATGAAGTAGGACCGTTCAAAATTTCCTTTGGCCTTGACCATGTATCTTAGTTATTTGCTGTCTTCTTGGTATGAGGTAGCAAAACAACCTTAGCAAGACTACACATGGAGAAGTAAGACCTGGATCCTACAGAGGTTGGCTGGGGGAGGTAATAAAGGGGAGGATGGGGATCTATTCTATTTTCAAACACAGAAGTGACATTTTCCAAGTATCTTGCTGCCCAGAAAAGAATATATATTTTTTTAATTAAATATTAACAGCAGTAAGATGAGCACACTTCAGTATTTCAAATTTGCTGACCTGCAAGGTAGAAAACAGACGAATCAGAGGAACATGCCAAACATTCCAGCTGCAAATGTTTGCCTAACAAGCGATAGTGACTTGGAGCACTTGCGGAGGCACGCTGCCAAGCATGAACCAGGGCTCACTGCATGGAGAAGGGGCTGAATTCCTCCCAAACCATTATTAGGTAAGTCTGGTCTTGACGGCTACAAGCAACCAAGTGAGTTCCTTGGCTATATGCCAGGGCAGCTGCAAAGAGCTGCTTCTGTGATGACACATGCTCCCTCCTACCCAGCTGTCCGCAATCCCAATTCTACCACAGAAAAGCACCTATGTTTCACACACATACATGCACAGCAACTCACACAGAGGGGAAAAAACTCCCTCTGGTATCAAAACAGAAAGAGCACTCAGAGCCCTGTCCTCTAGTAGAGTCACTGCCATAGAGTCACTGCCATACTTTCCCAGCTCAACACACAGCACCGTGCCTTGTGGCAGCCTCCCTGCCACACGTGCATCTCTCTTACTTTCACTTCCATCTTACACTGTCAGCTGGCACTCTCTACCTCCAGACTGTAGCAAGGATAAAAATGATCCAATTTACAAGCAGCACGGCACTGTGTGAACCTACTGTGTCAAGTCCAGTATTTATAGAAGTGGCTATAAATAATAAAAATCTGCAGGGGCTGCTGACCCACATACACCCTGTATTTTCTGAACAGGGAAGATGTACTAAATCTGCAGATGAAGGCCCGTGGCACCTCTCACCTCACCCCTTTTCCCTACTCCTCAGTTTGGTTTGAGAGTTCATTTCACCAGTGAATGCAGACCACAGAAATAGCCTCACCAGGGAAGGGAAGGGGAGGGGATAAGGAAAGAGGTGGAAAGGAAATGCACAAAGAAAGCTTTGCCTTCCATTGTTAAAGCTCCAGCCCACTCATGAATCATGTTTCCAGCCTGCTGAGTTAAAAGCACAGAACCTCTAGCGATGAAGTGCGTAAGCTCTTTGTATCAGCATTGCTGCTCTAAATAATTGAATTATTCTACAGATTAATTCGACAGGCTGCCCATCAAATGAGGACCATAATTCACACCATTTGGAAGACGAAGCAGCAATAAGCTTTTAATCAGTTTCCAACAAGGGCAATACAAGTGGCATAGTATATTAATGGATTTTTGCCTCTGCAAAGCCAAAAAGTTAGTGTTAACAGCACTCTTGAAACCCCATTCAGGAGCCAGGGAGGACAACTCAGTGGCTACTTTCAGAATTTCAACACTTGCGATAAAAGGAAAATAAATAAATGTAAAAGTTAAACAAGAACCAAGAAGCAGTTTTATAAAAGGCTTACAGGGGCCTGGTCCAAACCTCTGGCAGACTTTCAGTATTGATTGTCGTGACTATTAGACCAAGTCCTAAGAAGAAGTGATAGATTCTGCTTGGCAGGTCATGAGATAACTTAAATGAGCTACACAGGAACAAGAAATAGCCTAAGGCAATAGGAGAGCTTACTCTTTTCCTCCATTCAACCAACTGTGCAGTAAACCAATTTAACACAGTGGCCTAAGGAAGTCTCTAAAGTCACTTTAAGAAGAAAAAAAAAAAAAAAAAAAAAGATAGAAAAAGAAATTTCCTTATTCTGGAAAGTAAAGACATCACATTTGTTCCCAGGTAGAATGGCACAGCAGTGCCTTCAGGACTGCCCTGTAGAGTCATGTCCTGAAATCTAAGGTAGAGTAATAATAATTCAAAAAAAAAAAAAAAAAAGGATACATTTGTGAGCTTGGATGCATCATTCCTCTCTGTGAAAGCTTGGGGAAGGATGCATTATGTGGTAGGACAGATGCCACTTCAGAGCCAAGGTCAGAAAGGGTGTTGCACTTAAATGTAACTTCCCTGAGCTGCTCTCATCACCAAATAAAAAGTTTGCTTCTTCAGAAGCTCACTGAGCAGATTCAAGGTACACCTCTGGGCACCAGTCACCATATTCTAAATGTTGAATATATGTTTAAATACCACCAACTTTCTATGAAAAAATAAATAAGTAAAAATCATACTAGAGACCTACCTAAACAAACAAAGAAATAAAAAAAAGTCCCTCAAAATACTACACTGTCCTTAATTCCTGAAGAGTGTTGGGTTACCTAGTGAGCTCATTGGTGAGCTCACAGGCTGCAGCAGGGAAAACCAGGCATTTGTCTTCTCCTGTGCCAAGGCAGCTATACTTTGATTTGCATATTGCTGAGATAGTATCAGTTGCTGGTACTACATGAGTGGTAAACAAAGTTGCTTACTAGATGCTAGACCTGATTTAACTGGTTTTATAAACTCTGGCTTCAAGTAATAAAACCATTCTCAAGTTTATAATCCAACAGAAGTTGTAATCATTGCAATTCATATAAATATACACACACACATATATGTACATATATAAGCTCACTGAAGTTTAAAATACAGTGAATGAGCTTATTTTACCTAAATGTGTCTTGTCAGTATATGTATGTCCTTAAATAGAAAATTACAACAGTACTTTGAAATCATTGCAAAGGCACTCAACTTGTTGACTTTTAAATATGCTCTTCTTAGGAAAAAAAAAATATCAATACATGGCTCTCTCTAGAATTGATATTAGCACCTTTCAAACAGTCTCAACAGTTAACCTAACTATAAGAACAAGCATTAAACAAGTGATCCACACACAGAAGAGGCTTGTTTGCAAAGATACTTTCAGTGGCATATTATAGCTTCTAATTATTGTTGTAACACAACTATTTAAGGAATAGAAATTATACATTGTTTTTGTTCTACACATTCTTGGAACTAATGGTAGTGATCTGAACTACTGAAGATTTATTGTTTCTCTTTGACGTTGAACATGCAATTTGGTCTGTGCCAGAAGAAATAATAAATTACTATAGAAACAATGATTTTTTCAACAGTATGATTAATAGCTTCAGATGTGTCACTTCATACAGACGTTCTGCAATTATTTTCCTTCTTAATGAATGAGTTTCCTTCAGCAAGACAAAAGACTAAATAAACAGTCACATCAGGTTTGTCTCTTCCAAAAAACCCACTTTCTTCATTTTCATTTTTCCTCTCTCTGTATCTGCACCAAGTCTCCTAATTGCCCTTTTTCCACACATTTCAAGAAGCATCACTAATCTGTAAGTGGGAATGCAGAACACATCAGGAACGGTTGGACAAAGCTGAGACTCAAGTTTTTAAACACCATGTCATACCCTGCCTTATGCTTTAAAAGGACCCTTCTGCAGAACACTTGGCTGTTCTTGCGGGCCCTTCCACGTTCACACAAACTACTCAATGTCCAGATCTTACATACACGTGTTAACAACAGTAGTCAAGTTCAGGTGACATGGAAGACACACAGGCTATGTTTCCCCAACTGTTTCACAGCTATCTGTACTTCTTGAAGTATCCTAACAATACTCAGCAAATGAGAGAAGTTCTTCCTACTCACTGTCCCTCTGCTGTTTTTTTTTAAGATTGAATTCAATGGTTACACAAAATCTGCATCACACATATCAATCACTACTGCAGTCTCTTTCAGAACAATATTATTAGCCAAAGTAACTTGCACACTCTATTATCAATATAAAGGGAGAGTACTTAACCTAGGAAGTACTTAGTAGTTAAACTAATTTTAAAAGTAAAAAGGGACTGAATTTGTTCACTATACTTTTGGCTTGGTCAAGCTATATTATTGACAGCAAATGCGCAGCATGATGTAACAGTCAATTGACAAGAACTGTATAATTTAGTGTTTTCAAAAGCCACAATCTATCATGTAAGTGTTTGCACTGCTGGGATTATCAGGTTTTATCTACCACGAAAGGCACGTGCTTTGCTCAAATGGTTACTAGAGCCATACTAGTATGCATACACAGACTTCTTTACTTCCTTTCTGGTCTGCAAGACCAAGAGAATCAAAGCGAGAACAACTTGGTTCTGGGTACCATAATCCCATTAGGTAAGCTAAGGAGTTCAGAGAAGAGAAAAACCCCACCAAAAGTTTTTAATATACTAAGAAATGTAAGACAGATAACCATGTAATAAGCTCCCTTTGTGTCATCCATTCAAGTAGAACCTACCTCCTTGGCCATGTCAGTGTATTTCTGCTTCTCTTTTGGATCTAGAACAGCCCACCAATCTGCCAAGATCTTGGTTGCGCCACGGTTATCGAGGCGAGGGTGTTCTTTCCGCACCAGAGAGCGATGGCGTTTGCAGAACAAGAGAAATGCATTCATTGGTCGGCGAGCTCGTTGCTCTGAGGACTCGTCGTCTTCAGTTTCATCAGCATCCTGCTCTAAACCATCAGCGCCAAGGAGTGGCACCTAATAGAACCAAAGGAAAGGGATGTAGACATGGTTATTCATGCTTCTCAGAGACTGAGTTTATGCTCCGTCTGAACGAGGAAGACACATATAGACTTGTATGCATGTCTCTAAAGGCCATCCATTCCACCTCAGGATCAGGATCAATCAATCAAGATCAGGAATTCCATATCAGACTTTGCCCAAAGGCCCGAGGTTCATTCAAGACTTAAGCACTGATTTGCAAGTGGAGCAGATTTCTAAGGTGAGGACTATTCTCTAACAACAACTCTAAAGGGGATAAAAGGAGGATAATCCTCCCTACACATGTTTCCTGCATACTAGATACCATGTCTTTTCTCACTAAGTGAGCTGAGTTGCCTTGTACTTCAGTGACATGTGTTCACAATGACAAAGTCCACAGGAACAAGAGCACACAGGTACCAGTTGCTTCCCCAGCTCCTGATGTTCATTTCCCAGCTTGTGGGCTGTACTGCACTACAACCCCTGCATTGCAGCCCGACTGCCAGAGGGCAATTCTCAACAGAATCCATTACCAAAATGTACTCACTCAGCTCAGAGACCAGCATACTATTCACACAACAGCCACACCACATAAAGCTAGTTATAACTTAATTAAGTTATTACTGGACAGAAAGCCACAACCTACCAAACCACAACATTGCTATTTTATACTACATAGCGGAAGGTAACCCATGAGGTCAATAGACAGCACAGCCCCCTTCTAGTTGCTCCTTATCCTCATCAAGAACCACTCGTCCTTTCCAGTATGCCTTCTCAGCACTGATCTCTCAATCTTGTCTTAGCAGGGCATCAAGGAGATGCCAATACGAACGTTATCCACACGATGGAAATATCGTGTCTTCAAAACCAACACCACTTCTCCCACACCCACTTCTCATTATAGAGGTTGACTCTAAGTGTACATCTGTGAGGTGACACAGAGGGGTGGGTCCTTATGAAAGACGGTTGCATCTAATATCATTAAACAACACCAAAGTATCAAGCGTCAGAACAGGGAGATTATTCCACTTGTGCTCACAATATTCCAGAAGAGAGGTTGAATTTCTTACACAAAGATAGCATAAATTTCTGTCAGCCTTTCCTTCTTTTTCCTTTCCAATCTTTCAGATTTTAGGAATAATAAGAGTATTATTGCTTGGTATGTCCTCAAAGTCACAGGAGACAGATATTTGGCACCAGCTAACACTATGTCTATAAACAATTAAAAATACATCATAAGAACAACCTTAAGCAATCAAGACCAAGATGTGCAATATGCTATTAAAGTAACGATTAAAACTACTAAACTAACTCTACAAAACAGGGGTTTGTCAAAAATTTTCAAATAATGATTGACAATCCACATTTTCTTGTTATTTGCTACTTCTCATTACAGCATTATGTGCACGCTATCACCTTATTTATCTTTTTAATTGACTGGGTTAGCTTGGAAAGAGAACAGCAAGAAATAAAATAAAAACACTGCTGAGGTGAGTCTGACCCATCATTCACCTTCTACAGTCCAAGTATCCAATGAAGTCTACCTTATCAATATCTTCCTCCTCCTCTTCTTCCTCCTCCTCTTCAGAAAAGTCAAGGAGTTTCTTGGCAAGCAGGGGATGCCACTGAAGACACTTTCTTTTTGGTCGTTTCCCAGTTCCTTCTCCTTCTGTCGAATGATCCTTATTCCTACTACTGCCTTTCATTACTGTGACCTGCCATGCAAAAACAGTCATATGTTCACAACAAACCCTTGAGCACAAATGACCATCATACTTATAGAAACCAAAAATGCCAGAGGCACCAATGCAAGACTCTGAGCAGATTCTGGCAGGGCAGTAGGTAGAGGTTTATTTCAACCATCACTACCAACAAGGATGCATCTTTTCTTAACTTTTCCCACCTGATCAACTAGTGACAAACAGTTTAAGAAAATGAAACCAGCACACTAGCTAACTTTGCTCTCAGATATACTCTTCCCTAAATGGTAGCACAGAAGTGCTCACAGTGCTCACACTCCACTGAGTGAAACTCACTACTCTCCTAGTGCTGTTACCTCTATATTTTTTCATATTTTGCTATAGAGTAAGTCAGAAAATCCCTCTTTTTAACCATAAAATGTATAACTACCTACTCATCTGTTAATCACACACATATATAGCAATATTGATGCAGAACCCCATGACACTATGAGCTAGGATTTCCAGAGTGCTACTAATAAAAAGTATCATAAGGAAATCTGACTCCCTGCCTGACAGAAATGAATTTTCACAGACAAATTTGAAGCAATCAACCAGAAGTAGTTACTCTGACACTCTTAAAAGTACTTATCTACAAGAGCCTATGCACAGGAAACCATCCACACAACCAATGGCCTGCAGAAGGTAAACAAATTTCTCATACTCATCTTGCATGTGTGTCCTTCAAAGTACCTCTTAAAGTACCTCTCACTAAGAACACATCCTCACCACAGGCTACCTGCCAATGTCAGGGATGGCTCAGAAGATCTGCTACATCCAGGTAAGATCTGCAGTGCGCTTACGTAGCTCTTACACCTCACTTACACATATCAAACACCTTGCTGGGACCACTTCACGCAGCAGTGTCCAGCAGCAAGAGCCATCACAGCTCCTGCCACACCCATACATATTTCTCAACTACTAATTCTACTTTTGGCTGATGTTTTCCCAGGGTGATTCTTGGTTAATTCACTGGCATTTTGGTGGTACGCTCTTGTTTGCTCCAGAAATGCACATAAGCAGCTGCTTCCCTTGCTGACTTGAACAGTGCAGAAAGCAGAAGGAACTTCAGACACCACTCACTGAAGAAAAAAACTGAACCCCGAATTAGACAGATTCAAGCATTTTAACTTAGGAATATGTAAAAATAGCATTTTCTTGTATGTACACTAGATTTTATAAGTCCCGTCATCCCTCCTTGTTTATCAGTGGTATTTGCTGCCCTCTGAATGCTTCCAGGGAGGGGGACTTAGCAGTTTTTTGTTTGGCTCCACACTCTGCTGTTCCTATCATCCTGCTTCTGAACAGAGCGCATTTAAACTTTGATTGCATGGCTATCACTGTTAATTTTCTACAAGTAACAACTGTCTTCTCAGCAAGTATTATATAGCAATCCATCAAGCAACACTTCACCAAAATCTTTATCTGGGACTTGCAAAGAGGATCCAACACACTGGAAATTAAATACACAGAAACAACAGCTTCAAAAGAATAATGAAGGGTGAAAAAAATCAAGCAGCAGTTCAGTATAGTGAAATGCAAGTTTGAAGTTTTTCCTATCCAAAAGTAAATTTTGCCATGTAACTGCTGCACGGTGATTCCCACCTGCATCTCCTCCTAAAACACTGAACCACCATCTGCTTTTGCCACTCGGGGTATTTTCTGACGCAGATCAACAGTGTAGTAGTATTACTGTTGAAGATCTTCAGTTTTCAAGTCTCAGATTTTTTTTTTTTTTGCATGGAACAGTTTGACAATGTAATTACATAAGCAAGATGTTCAATGTTCAAGTGAATGCGTACATGATTAAATGACAACACAAGTTTTATTGCAATGAATTACTTTCTGAATGGCAAAACACCAAAGCAATTCATTCAGATCCCCTAGATTCTACTAATTTTTCCTTTTTTTTCCCCTTTGACATATGATCAATGGCATGTTAGTTTCTAGTTTTGTCTGGGAGAAAAGTAACTGGTAGAGGGAAATCAGCAAAAACATCACTTCCTTCTCTTTCCATCACAAGGATCCCTGAATGCTGGCAAGTATCCCTACCAGCAAGATTTTCACCTGGACTTGGATCCTATAAGAACTGAAGCATGTTAATGCCATCAAATGGTTCCACGGAAAGTCACAAAACAAGTCATGGGCAGTGTCTGTGGGATCTGTGGCAGAAATACGATAGAATACACACAGCCCTTCAACTATGAAGTTTGTAATAGCTGGAATTTATGAACCACACCTCAAAAAAATGTAATTTCTACCATAATATCAGTAAAAATATCATATATATTTTAAGTTAGATTTAGTAACTTTTCAAAGTTTGCAAGAGTAAAAACCATTAAAGCCAGCTAACAAAATTTTACAAGAAATGTTTTGGCTTAAGAATGATTAGGTGAGACACAAGGGAAAAGGAACGGTACAGGAAGACAAGATGGAAGCATGAACAGCTTTGCTTAAAATAAGTCAAATACACTGCATAACATGACCATACAGATCAGATGTTCCAGAGGTAGTGCACCAATAAAAAGATCTTTTAAATTATTATTTTTTTTATCATTATTTTTATTTTTTGTACTGGCTGATTTATTTCCTTTCTGGTCCTGGACACACTGATTTCTTGGATGTCTTATAAATACACACACAATAGGGCTTCAGAGGGAAAAAATAAAAATAAAATAGATCTCTCAAGAAAAGAGGTGGATGAGAGAGAGAAGTGAGAAGAATGATTGCTCATCTTTTTCTGTTATTTACTATACATCTGTATGTAAGTCTTCTGCTTCTCACTATCAAAATTCTCATTTCATAAAACCAAAAATGACAAGAGGACAACTGTGATATTAATGCCTCATAGTCTTGGAGGCTATGGAGTCACTGAAATGAACTGTTTAAATAAGAAGTAGGGGACTACGCAATGAAGTCACTTTCTCAAGTTTAGTGGGCTGAAGAGGCGTTAGAATTCTCATGCAAAAGGAGATTGCTGCATTGTAAAAAAAAAAACAACACCTATGTGAATAGTGAATACAAAAGGATTTTTTTTTTAAATAAGTTTCTTTTAGTTCTAGAATAATTGAGTCAGAATACTTCTGTAATGAAGGACAAAAGCTAGTTGGCACTAATTATTGACCAATCTGTGAATATATTGTTTATTGTTTCACAGCAGAAAGCCATTAATGAGCTTTATTACTTTCAGAGATGCGATGGCTTAATAGGGGACATGCTGAGACTCAGTAGAGTTCTGCTTGCTGGCAGACATTTGGGATAGGCTGTCACCACATGCAACACAGCAACAAGTCAGCAACAAGTCTTCCTTAATTTTTAATGACATACTTTCATTTTGCTAAGATTTTAAACTATTCCTTATTTTCTTAAACTAAACTCTGAGTTGCCTCCTTTTTTTTTTTTTTCCCCTCAAAAACAAAAATTTAAACCCTTAAACCCAAGCCCAAGAAGAACATCAGCTATTCCTATGCTATCAAAATGATTAAAAAAAAAAAAAACAAAACAAACAGGAATACATCTGCTATTAGTGTTCACTTGCCTTTTTACATAGACATCATTTAGTTCTGCTTTTGGTTAATATTGTCATTGTTAATTCTTCAGAATTGTCAGTTGAAATGGAAATAAGGGCATCTCAAGTGCTGAACTGTACCCAGATCTGCTTTTCAAACAGAAGCCACAAGCAGACAGCAAAAATGCAGGATGGAAAAACAAAACCTCATAATGCTTTTATTTATTACACAGGAAAGATTACCTGTGCTGTCAGGAGTATTGGATGTGCTTGTGTTACCACTTAAAGTAACTGGTTTTTAAAAGGCATTAATGCAAACATTAATCTTTCCATGAAGTTTAAGTGTAACATAAGGAAAAAAAGACTTCAAAAGATGGCAAGAGATACATAATCTACTGCAAAGTCATTATATGACAACTGATTTTAAATAATTATATTCAGGTTTAGTTGTTTGTTTTTTTTCCCCTCTTCATTTATAGAAGACAAGTAGGAAAAAAAATACAATAAGGTAATATTTTGCTTTGTAAGAAGTTCGTCAGGAACATCCTCATTAAAAAAGAGGGTAAACTCTCTTTTACAAATATTGCCTCCAAAAGGCAAACATTTAGGAACCAGGTGCTATTGCTACTATGTACGTATGAGTAAACTGACTAGGAAATTAAAAAAACAAAACTCTAGCACAGGCATAAACCTTTGAGCTTTCCTTATGAAGAACAAACAGCTGACTGCACCTTATTATGGCAAATGCATTTCAGACAACACTCTGCTTAAAACTTAGCAATTGAATGTCTCTCCCCAGTCTAAATGCCAGGTAACAGCCACTCGTTAGGTAAGCACTACCAGCAGTTACCTTACAACTGTCACTGCTAGGACATACCAATTGCAGAACCTACAAAGTCAACATCTGACCATCAAAGAACCTAGAAAAGCAACCTTTAGGAAGTGACAAATGGCTTGGGAAATGGTCAAAACGCTTATTTTCTGCTTCGTATTACCCTAAATACGGCCTTTGAAAACAGACAGGAGTTCAAACACCAATCACACATTTAAAAAGCAAATAGTAAAATGAACACATGGTGGAGAACGACTTTTCAAATAACCTCACTGAGGCAGTGGACGTGGGTCCTGCTGCATTTTGGATACGGCTTTTAACGAAAGCCTCAGGGATCGCATAGCAACCACCCACCCCCATGTTTGCTCTGGTTAGGCTGCACAGTTCCTTTCCAGCAGAAATACCACCACTTCCACACCTGACCAAACACCCCACAGCCACCCACAGAGGCCACAATGAATACCTGCTAAGGGAAGAGGGTATAACGCTGGCCCTTGGGGCAGTGCCCTCCCAGGAGGGGCAGCCGCAGGCTCAGGCAGCTGGTGGAGGCCTTGAGGCACTCTCAGCACTCAGGTAGAGGGATAAAGCTGAGCGCAGGGGGAGATGAAGCAGAGGATGGAGGAGACCACAACCAGC